GATCACGCTCCTAAGTCACAAATCATCCCCCGAAGCTAACCGAATCACCGAAAATTACATCCAAGCCCTCTAACTCATTAGTCAACGTCCGGTTGACTTTTCCAACTTAAGCCTTCTTAAAAGAGACTAAGTGTTTCATTTTCTACCAAAACCAATCCAAATCAACTATAACACACCAAATACTGATAATGAAACATGAAGAAGCATAAAATGGGGGAAACGGAGCGGTAACTCATGAGACGACGGGTCGGGTCGTCACACAGCTGCTGCGTCAAAGTTCTGCCATAGTCCCGGTCCATTCTTTTCCAGGTAAGTTCTCTCGTCCCTGTTAACTTCTCTTCTTCCCCTGCTGTCTTCTCTTCTTCCCATGTTAAATTTGTTGCTTGCAATCGTTTTGAAATAGATTTTGAATTGTTTTGCAAAGTATTGTGATTATGATGAAAATGGTGTACAACACATGATATTGTGCCGTGTAATAATGGGAAACATGGAACTGGTTTATCTTGGATCTAAGCAGTTCCATCCCAGCAGTGAGGATTTCGAAAATGGTGTTGATAATCTTTAAAATCCGAAGTGTTACGTGGTCTGGACTATGAATATGAATACTCATATCTTTCCGGAATATGTTGTCAGTTTCAAGTTGTCTGGACTATGAATATGAATACTCATATCATTGCACCTTTCTTGTTAAAAGTCAGAAGCTGTTCTTTATGAACCAGTGATTAAGACTTGACCTAAAATAATTTTTTTGCCCTTTAATTTGTTAGCACCTTTGTTAGCAGCCAAAACGTGTGAAGCCCTACTTAATTCAGCATCAACCAAGTTCCCTGTAGGTTTAGCAAGCTCTAAATTTTTCTGTTTCTTTGCATTCAAAAAGTCCCTGGCATCACCTTTTAATTTTTCAATACGTCGATCATCTTCATCGACTAGATCATCACATCATGAGCTGCTACTATTATTTTTCTTTTCAATCAAACTGTTTGGTTAAGAAATCCAATTGTTTGTATTTGTGACTTGTCGAGTTTGTAGCCTCCTTTCAGCACTAGGAATCTGTGAGAAAGAATGAAATTCAGTTGTTCCTTAACAGTAGCTCCTTGTGCCTATTGAAAACACAATATTAGAGACTATGATCTGTTTATAAATGGCAAAATATTCCATATTGATTCAGCCCCCATGTAGTAGCCC